AAAAAAAAAAAAGGAGTAGGGAGATACATCTTTCCTAAATGAAAAGGGGATCAAGAGATGGGGACAGAGGGGAAAGAGGATGAAAAAAGGAATCAAGATGTGTTATGTACATGTCCCAACTCCACACGAGGAATGCAAACATTATGTACTTCAAACATGTAATAATCATAATAAAATGTAAAAAAATTTAAAAAGTGACAGTTTATTGCCATACAATGTACCATAGTCACACAATGTAATATAACTGAACTATAAAAAGGAATGAAGATCACAAAACTCTATGAGGCTGAGGGAGGAAGAACCCAAGTTCAAACCCAGCCTGGGCAACTGAGCTAGGCCGTCTCAAAAAATAGGCTGGGAAAAACAAGAACCAAGATATATCATGTACAGGTTCAAATTCCCAATGATAAATATGATTATAATGTATACCTAAAACATACCAATAAACAAAAAGTAAAAAAATTTTAAAACGCTGGGGATATAACTCAGTGTGAAGGCCCTGGGTTCAATCCCCAGTAACAAAAAAAAAAGGGGGGGGGTACTAAAGCACCTGCTTAGCATGCACAAGATTCTGTATTTGCCCCAATACCCCAAAAAATTATAGCAAAAAAGTAAATTCCCTGATAGTCCCAACATTGGTATCAATAAACTGACTGTATTTTCATTGCTTCTAGTTACTTTGTATCCTCAAAAAAAACCCAACTTGAATTCAAGCTATAGATCCAAATGTTAATTTATTAAATTACAGAAAATCAGAGGACAGACTTATTAAATACACTACAGGAATGTAACAGCAAAACGTAGACTGTACAAAGGTCCACAAGACAAATGATTCTCAGAGAATTCATTCTTAAGGGAGAAAAGATAGAAGAGGAACCTACAGATTGAAAGAAATCCACTTTTCACCATGGTGACCAGTGGGTCTGCCTCTGACCCACACTCCTCACCCTTTGCAGTCTTACAGCAACTGGACAGCTCACCTTATTCAGTTTCTTAAAAATCAGCCTGTGCAGCCAACCTAAGCGCTGTTGGTTTGAATCTGATCGCTTCTAGAAGGTCAGGAAGCTTTGGCACTCTGGTGTTCAAAAATCATATTTCTTGCCATTGTGTATTACTGTGCCTCTCAGGTTTAGTAGGAAAATCACTCATTTGTGTAATCTACAAAGAATATTTACAACTGCCAGCAAAGGAATAGAACAGTAGAAATACATAAGATTTCAAAGGAAAAAAAAACACCCTAATTCCATAAAAGTTGTAAGGACTGGGCTGGGGATTTAGCTCAGTGGTTC